TCACTCCCTCACCCGTCTAGAGGCTGGGCCTGCCCTTCGTTCTGCAGGGAAGTGAACAGTGTCTGCATGGTAATTGCGTGGACCACCTCCGTTTGGGAAAAACCGAGGACCTGCTTCATAACCACTGCGACCGTATTCTTCCTCTGGTCTGTAAGGACCCCTTCGCTCCGCTGATCCTCCTCCCCGAGGATATGGACCCTTCCAATCACATAACAAATTATCACCATCTCATCACAACATTTAAATTTGTCGGACTCACCGGTCTTTCGCCTATAAAGCGATCCTCATAGACTTCTCGTACATTTCTCTCCCTCCTGTACGACACTGTAGAACACATTTTGTAAGAGAGATATAGAAATATAAATATAAATTATATACTACTGAGTGAGAGTACTTACTCTTACTTGTTGTAAAATCTGTTATCTTCAGGATAATCTGCAAAAGTGATGATCAAGGTTAATGATACTATTGGTTTACCCCCACAAGATTGTTATTACTGTTACTAGTAAAACACTAACACATTCATAATAGTTCCTTGATAAACATGATTTCTTGTTGCATGTGATGAAAAATAGGGTACAGCCCTGTGTTTAAAGCTCTAAAACAGGATTAGAAAAATATAGGGATCACTGCTAAATCACTTGTAAAATACCAAAAGATGAGCAATTTGTATTTGGCCGTTTTATAACTGACATCACATTCAATACTAATGGAGTAAGACAAGTAAAGTCTTATCTTAGCTTTAACCTCGGCATATATTTGTTTTACTACTTTAAACAAACAATTTGCCATTTCAACAGTGAAAATATCGTCAAATCATCATAAATACAACGGACTTCAAGCACTTCATCATATTTTTTTCATCCCACGTGTACTTTGAACATATCCATACATCAAAACACAAATTGGAATTCAAACTTGCAAGATTATCAGAGAAATCGCAATTAACGTTAAACATATCTTCAAAACCCTGCAACCCTGTCTGATCAACTATGACCATCATATACCATCATATAGTCATTGCAACATAGTTTATTTCGTTTAGAGAATAGTTAAAGCACAATGGTTGGATGCAAGAAGACTAGCCTTATGGGCAGTATCATTAGATGTATTCTAGCAAACAAAAACACAGCTCACCAGACAAGTACATTGCGATTAAGCCTGACAAGCATACACACCTCTCCTCTTACGTGTTTATATTTGGGGCAGAGCAGCACAGGAATCCAGTCTAATTCTTCGCTATCATTTGGTTAGCATTAGCATTAGCATTAGCTTAACCGTGCTGTTGAAGATGTGACGTCATCTTTGTCCGCCGGCGTTCATCGGCGTCATTAGAACGCGTCAGTGATTGCTTAGCTGTAGAGTTTGTTATTTCATGTCTATTTTATCTTACTCTCTTTTTCAATTGTTTGATTCTGTCGTGCACGCGTAAACTGAATCCAACGTTACACAATGAATTATCTGTATAATCTGTAGTAGACCTTGCATACGTTGTTGTCCGCCATGAGTGGGGGATTGGCACCAAGCAAAAGCACTGTGTATGTGTCCAACTTGCCTTTCTCTCTCACCAACAGTGATCTACATAAGGTAATTATACTGCTACAAAAACATAAAGCTCTGTCTGTTCATGAATCAACTTATAATTGTCTTTATTTTTTGTAGCTTTTCACCAAATATGGGAAAGTTGTGAAGTAAGTAGGCTACTTCATTGCCAATGAAATTACGTGTGTGTGTTTGGATGTGTTAGAATGTGTCTTATTTTACAGGGTGACAATAGTTAAAGACAAAGACACACGCAGAAGTAAAGGGATCGCATTTGTCCTCTTCTTAGACAGAGAATCTGCTCATAACTGTGCACGAGCAATCAACAATAAACAGGTCAGTGAAGATTGATAAAGTCAAATGTTATAATTGTTCATTGTGTATTAAAGTTATTCTGTGTATGGTTGGTCAAGCAATATTAATTTGTACAATGTTGCAGTTGTTTGGCAGGACAGTAAAAGCAAGTATCGCTGTTGATAATGGACGAGCAACAGAGTTTATAAGGAGAAGGAACTATACAGACAAGTCCAAATGTTATGAATGTGGGGTCAGTGTAATGTAACAAGCAGCTGTAGTCAAAGCATTGAATATTCTACATATGCTGAATTTCAATGACTGATGAGTTACTCATGTATTGCAGGACACAGGGCACCTCAGCTATGCATGCCCAAAAAACATGCTTGGAGAAAGGGAGCCTCCAAAGAAAAAAGAAAAAAAGAAGAAGAAAAATCAACCTCAAAACGAACAGCAGTGAGTTCTTTGTCATTACCAAGTATTTCATATGATCTGCGTATTTCAACTGTATGTGTGTTTCAGGGAGGAGGAACCAGAAAGTGAAGATGAGGGAGAAGATCCATCTCTCGACAGTTTGAGTCAAGCCATTGCTTTTCAGGTAAAATGATTTGGATTTTCAGATAAAATGATTTGGATTTTCAGAATAATTAATCCAATATATGATAACAAAAAATAAACATCCAGCTGATTTGTATTTTCTTTCTACCCTCTCAGCAAGCCCACTTAGAGGAAGAAGAGGTCAGGCATAAAAGGCAAGCAGCTGCATCTAAAGGAGATGGTGGTCCGTCCACTTCCACGGACTCAAGAAAACCCAGAATCAAAAAAAGTGCATACTTCAGTGATGAGGAGGAGCTCAGTGATTAACTACTTTCTAACCACAGACACCATGACCTGGATGTATATATTTTCTTTTTTATATATAAATAAACTGATGTACTTTTATGTTTTTTATAGCTTGAGTGTGTGATCAGAACTTCTTCCTGTAGTTGCACTTTCCAAGGAAAAAATAGTTTACATAGATTCAGTGATATTTGACACAACATTTCTATTTGTTTTAGAGTCACACTTAATACACAGCACTTGTGAGGATTGTTACGAGCTTGAAAGATCCCTCTTTTGACATGATTGACCTCTAATGTCAATTATTAAAGTTGAAATTATTCCCTTACTAAGTACAATCTTGTACTTACAGAAAATATTGTATTGAGACATTTTAAGCATTGCCCTGGAAACACATTTCCAACTTGCCATTTTAGAAATGTTTCATACATGCAGAGTGTATGACTGAATGAATAACATGTGCAATGCATACTGAATGGTTATTTGAACTTTGAAGCATGGTTGACTGCAACAAATGAATTAACCTAGAAGCATGGCTAACTACTTTCACTACCTTTTTTATGTTGTGTCGCCTTCTACAGTAAATTGTAATATTGTAAAATGTAATGAGATAGTCCCTATATTTGGGTTTCTATTATTTCTAATATTCTTTTATTTAAATGATTAATGACGGAGACCAAAGAATATCACAAATAATAGTTACCCAATTATAGTGACTACCTCACTTATGATTTATCACATCAAAATAAAATGTTTTCTGATAAGATGAAGGCAGCACGCTGTTCAATACCTTTTGCCTTTGCATTTGACTCTGTATATTGGTATAAAAATTATTCAGAGGAATCTTTTTTTTTTAGATATCCCAGCTTTAATGAACAGTGTCGAGCAGTGAGATGTAGTGGTGTGGCGTTCGCACTCCATTATAATCATGGATGTCTTGTATTATCGGATAGTCCAGTGTCTCCCAAAGTGGGGTCCGCGGCCCCCTGGTGGGCCGCGAGGGTACTGCAGGGGGGCCGCGGGAGGTCATAAAAATATATATATATATAATTATTTAATGTTAAATTTATAATGTTTTGTTTGTAATATTAAAATATTTGTGTTCATTATTTGACTTGAATAATCCACTGTAATCATTTTTGTATTACAATGTTTGTAGCAGAGGCTATTTCCCCAAAATAAAATAACCAGAAGAGCCTATTCTTAATGTTGTCTTCTTGGTTATTATTTTGGGGGGCCACGCAGACCCGTCAGATTTTTAAGGGGGCCTCGGTGTTACTGAGTTTGGGAATGGCTGGGATAGTCTATGGCGCTGACAGAGCTGCAGAGGGCGCCTGGATAGACATCAGGAGGAATGTCAGGCTGGGGAAGTGACGCGCGCGCGGATTGGCCCACGCGAGTCACGTGACCATTTCCCAAGCGGAGTTTCCACGACAGCTGGAAGCCGAGCGGCAGAAGCGCATCGCGTCTTTACTTCAAATAATAGCAATCCCATATACTGCCCTCGTCATAGCGCCTCCAGATACACTGAGGTCTGGCATGGGAGACAAGAGGAGTCCTACAAGGTAAACACAAAGGCGGAGTGCCCTAGATCCTCGCGGTAGGGGGAGCGGACATCGGCGGAAAAATGGGGTTTGTCCACGGTTCGTCGGTCGGTCTCTCTCCCTCGCTCTCTCTGTGAATGTGTGAGTGTGTACAGCTCAGCACCGATTACAGCGTGGATCAACGCGTCTGCAGATGATTCCGAAATCCTATCAGGCGAGCCCAGATGTGCGCTATCGATAACCTTCCCTGGTGCAAGCCGAACTCTTTCGCCTTCCCCTCACTCCCCTTTCTTCTCCCACGTTCAGCAGTCGCTCCTTGTCTTTTAACGACTTTGCTTTTGCCTCTTTATTTATTGTTTTAAAGGCCGAAGCGTCAACCGAAATCCTCCGACGAGGGGTTGTGGGACTGCAGCGTGTGCACGTACAAGAACACGGCGGAGGCTTTTAAGTGCATGATGTGTGATGTCAGGAAAGGGACATCAACAAGGTAAGATACGGATGAGGCGCCGGGGACCCTGGGGACACGGGGCTATCCTCATAAAACCATTTCCCCATTAACAGCATGCTTCAGGCAATTTGGGCTGTACATTGTAAACGCAGTGATATTCCACGGGTTTTGTGATCTGTTTGGAGAGCTGGTTTTATTGTGCCTGTGTCGTTGAAGCTGTGTTTTAAATTAAAACCTCAAATTGTGTTTATTGACGCACATATGGGATGACATTATTTAAACTCGCTTTTTTGTAATATCGGTACGTGTTCACATACAATGCTTTCTGTCTTGCAATAGTTGTAACTTTGGATCAACATGGCATGAAGTAAGCTGTATTTGGTTCACAATCTTCATATTAGTGGACGCTCATGCTTGTTCTGCATTTGTACAACTTTATGACTCCGGTGCGTTCTCAGCATGGACACTTGGTCACTTTCATGTTGTGCCTGTCCGCTTGTGTGTGGGAGGACCGGTCCACGGGTGAAGAGAGGCTGTCAGAGCAGCTGCCAGACAGACAGCCATAGCTCATTACTATTCAACGGCTTAATCAGCCTGCTGTCATTAGAGACACGCACTTGAGTACAGATGCACTCCCCGTGTGCATTCTGCAACAAATGCACTCACATTTGTACACAATTACATTTTTTTTCATCCACATACAGTAATCACGACTGTTAGTATTAAGCAGTCCATGGCATGATGCAACTCAGTCTTGAGCCATTTCCTCCTGTATTGTTTACACACACAAAGCAGTGATGTTTTATGCAGATTCTGGCACACGTTTGCGTTTGCCAAGAATTGTCAGAGCTCTCCAAGCTTTATCTGGACAGCCATGGGACAAGGACAACTGGGCAGACATATTTGTACGTTCAGTTTCCTTCTCTTTTATGTTGTCAAAATTAATTTGCAATGTCTTCAGTTATCCTGTTTTCTCTAATATTTTGTCTGAATTAGATTACCAATACAAAACTGGTATTGGCTGTCATATTTTTTAAATATTTTTGGTTGATATTAACCCAGAATGTCAAGAGTTTTAACTTTTGCTCAAACAAAGTAGTTCTGTAGTTACTTGAAGGATAATAGTTAAAAAAGGGTATTGGACACTTTTTTTTTCCCGAAATTCAGTTGTGATTTTGAAAGCCACAATATTGAGATCGGTAATGGACATAAAAGAACTGCATCGATGTGTTCCAAGTCTGAATGCCTTATCCATCACACTGCGTTTATACTCGATGGCACAATGAGAACATATGACCCCTCCTTTTTAGCCGTACAGTCATACACTGCATGTAGAAACACCTTATTAAACTTTAATAAGCCATGACCTGCAGCAAAGCACAGATTTTATTGATGCAGTCCTCACTTTTGAAGCCCATTCACGTTGCACAAGCTATTACCACGGCAAAATGGCCACACAGGTGGTCACAGTTGGTAATGACCATACACCACAAACAAGTGCATTTCTCAGCAAGCGAGCCGAAGGTGCTAAAGGGCAAACGACAGACAGAATATAAAATCAGGAAACTGCATATTCCCCGGTGCATACTGAACGAGCATGACGGCAACATTACTGAGATAATGAGTATAATTCTCCAGCGTCTAGTGGTTTCGGGAGGTAAGTGCAGTGAAGGTCAGGGAGCAGATCTAATTTTGTAATTCAGGAAAAAGGTCAATTATATTATGTTGCAAAACTAATATAAATGTGTGTGGTACTTGTATTGCTTCCCAGTCATGAGAGATTGACAGAGTTATTCACATTAAAGTGGTGTTGTCACAATACTGAAATGATAAACTAAAATTTTAAAACAAAATTTAAAAACGGCTAAAAGATCACACATTATGTAGATTTTGTTTCGTTTAAATACTTTATTAAACAAATATATTGTTTTGATACTAGTTTCAATCTAGATTAAGTCTGATTTCTTTATTCTTTTGGCAGCCCTGAAGCTCCACAATTCCATTTTGGTCTTCTTGATTTTTTTGTCTCTTTTTCTTCTATAGGCCACCAATTTCTCTGTTCTTAATTGCTTATACCAGACATGTCAAACTTGGGCCATTCGTAGTCGCCCCTGTAATGATCTTTTATTGTTATTCATATTTATTAACTTGCAGCATTGATGGTAAGGGACGGCTGTCGTATGTTAGGACTTGAAATGTATTACTGTTGGAAAATACGTACTATACATAATAGTACAACCTTCCTCAGTCAAAAATACACTTTATTTTTAAAATGAAATGCATTTTAAGTTACAGACCTCACCTTCAAATTCAGCACAGACCAAAATGAGTGACACTGCTGGCTTATACATAAATTGTGTTTTTTGTCAATGCCCCGGGCCACGACGTTGTATAACTTCTAAACACTCGAATGAAGCGTCCACTTTGGTGCCTTATAAAAGAGGTTATTCCACTGACAAGGATGCTCAATGTTTTATGAGCTAAAGCCTGAGCTTGTCCCGCCACCTGCCTGTGTGGGCATGAGAGAGCAGCCCTGATCAAGCAGAGGGTGCAGGGCTGATGGAAAGGCCTCTGTAGACTCAGAGTTTGACTGAAGACGGCAATACATCAGCGGGATCCGACAGGCTTATCACCCAGCCGAGGGTAAATGAAGGAGAGACAGGCTGACAAAGATGATCCAGGGCTAATTCCACCACAAGCACCGTTTAAAAAGATTATTTTTTACCGCAGACTGGGTCCAAGTCAGTTTTAACAAGCAGTTGACAGACTAGAGAATGTTGTACAGCGTTTGACAAGTTCTCACTGGTGCACATATTTACCGGAAGTTTTGGATAAATGATAATTATAGCCGCAACTAAAATTACAATAATTATTTCTGCATAGATCCTTCTTCCAAAAGTGTGTGTGTGTGTGACATGTTTGAAAAGCGCACACTTAGAGTTTCTGTATGTGTAATAGCAATCTGCACAAACTGGAATTTCTAACTCTGTAAAATATATTATGTTTTTTGACTAGTCATAATTCATGCTCGTTTTGACACAAATCACTTAAAATAAAAGCTGTACTCAATTATGTAAAATGTCCGAACAAAATTGCATCGGATGTGTTGTAAAAGCGGTGTGCTGTAGTAATGGCTGCAGTGAATAATTAGATTGCTCTGAATGTGTACAGGAGGGATATAGTAGTGTGGACTATGTGCTTTTTGAGGCGGATACGATAGCAGTAAAAGGGAATATGTTGGTGTCAAAATGTTGAATAAAACAAACCCAATAATTACAATTTCTAATGTCTAACTAAACAAATTTACAAAAACAACATATCCCACTGTACACTTTACAAATGATAGAACAAGACATGAATACAGGATGTCATTAAACGGTACATTTAACAATAACAAGGTAAAAACAATGTCTCTTGGCCCACAGCTGATTATACCACTCTACTGGAGTTTGTTTTCTTAACTGTTCCGAGGTCACAGTTGCTGACTTGTATTTTGACTATGTTTTTAAATGTCCTGTTATTTAAGTGACTTTTAACCAAAATAAATCAAGCTAAGCAAAACTCGTCCGTTTAGGTCTAGGCACTTGTGCAGGGAGTATTGCTATGAGTCTTTTGTCCGGTAAACAAATACATAGCTTGCCTTTTGATATGTATCATTGTCGTTTTGACCAGAAGGGTGGAATAGACTAATAATATATATCAATGTTGGTCAATATTTGCGCTAAAAATAGGTCAACTCGTAGCGTGCACTTTCAAACAAATATGGCGTCTTTTTTTTTTTTTTTTTTAAGTTGATTGTTTAGACTTAAAACATGTCGATGCTGCTTTATTCAAACTGCAAATGCACCTAAAGACACATAAACATGTAATCGTTGTACGCATGAAGACTTTATGGTTTGCGGAGGCACGCCCAGGAAGGACCAACTGAAAGGACGTTGCATGTTTTCCACTTCGTGACTAATTCAGGTTAAACCAGGAAAGCACGCAGGCAAAATGTTAACTGTATTTAATTAAACCAGCCTTTTCTAAAGTCTTAATGGAGTGCAGAAGCGGATATCATGCCGCCTCATTACCGTAAGACTTTGCAGAAGTGAAAGTCAGAGTGGCATTTTATCTCTCTGCTTCATTTGGCCGCGGTCCAGTTTCAGAGAACCAATCAAGCTCATGGATTTTATTCCCACATTAGCGGATATATCCAGTTTGTACTCAAAAGACTTGCACTTTAAATCAAAATGATGGCTTTCTATGAATAAGTCTGCTCATCGGCCTGCTGAAGTTCAATGTCCGTGGTCGATCACAATCAACATGCTTCTAAGCTTACATTTAAATGAAGTAAAGTTTGAGCCCATGTATAGATCATAATGGCTTGGATTGCTATGAACATTTAGATTTTTTTCATAGCTTATACAATGGACTTGATCTAATAACAGCCAAATTCAATATTGTCTGTGGGTGTCATTGCATGGTTACCAATGGCTTGATTCTCTTCGCATCAAAGGTTAAGGACAATAATTTTTCATTGTTCGTCAGTAAATACTACTTTTATCAACTGATACTAGTCAAAGAAACAACTTTTCTTTGGGTTATTAGCAAATTTCTACCATTTCATTGTTTGGTTCTCAAGCTGAGTATCCAATCGGAAGGGTTTCAGTGTCTGTAACTTACAATCTCTACTAAAGATACAAAATATCCATACAAATCTATAAATAATGAAAACAACTCAATCAGCCTGAAGATAATGTTGAAGGCCTGCATTTTTTAGGTTCAAACTTTCCCCTGGTTCTAATGTGTGTGTTTGATGCTCCCCTCCTCCCCTCCACCCAGCACTTGAACTTAGCCGAGGGCGTCTGCTGTTGACAGAGTGACTGATGTGAAGGTTTCATCAGCCTTATACCTGAACAAGCACAAGGGCTTCTGGTGAGTCGCCGATCTGTCAGCACGTGCCTCCTCTTCCAGTGGCCTTATGTAACGTAGAGAACGGCACAAGCTGCTCTTCACACCTCAATGCCGTGGCGCTCTTCTGTTGCTGATGGTATTGC